TTTTTTATTCGGGCTACCTAAATTTATTTTGGGCTACCAAAAACTGAAGAGTCCCTGCCCGAAGGGCTACCAGGGATTTTGAAATTTTGCGAGCCCTGCCTAACATGAATCCTTGGCTCACTGTCTTTAGTAGGTCTTAGACTTCACAAAAACTGTGACTAAGAACATGACTTCATGCAGTATGTTGCCTCAAATGTAGATTTTCTATCTTAGACATTCACTTTAATTTCTGCTGAAATTAACACACATCAAACTGATAAACATTCTTTGAACTCACAAACCTTCAAATATTCTTCGGTTATCATAAAAACAAAAGCATGCTACAAATGTTAACACCTCAAAGATCACTCTGCAATCGATGAGTCTGCTGCAAAAAGCTTCAGTGGAAAAAAACATCTTATTCCACAAAGATTAAAGTGTTTGTTCTTAAAAGTGCCCAGTTATGAGTGGGTAGTTACCATTTAATGAGCACTACTGTGCACTGCTGCTGACCTCCCCCACACAAACAGGAATGCAAAGCTCTGAAATGTTGAGCTTTGTGTCCATCATCTGACCTACCAAACATCTGCATACGCTGCTTCTGCCAGGTCCTTTATTAAGTAGCGAGCCACAGACATTCAAGATCCACATTATTATATGTCAGTGCGTGAGTGGGGGAGGGGAGAGAGAAGGAAATGAGATCACCCCTGGAGGTCAAAGGTTCGGAGGCAGTGACTGGAGCAGCAGTAGGCTACAAAACTCACAGTGGTCCTGAACAGGAAAGGAGAAGGACGTAAGTATGCATGTTAAATCCTTCTTCAGGGGGAAACTAAAAAAGACGGCGTGTTTGGCTGACCTGCGGTGTACTCCTGCCAGGGCGGTGTCACGGAGGGGGAAGAGTTTGGGGTAGATAATCGTGAACATGGCTTGGCTGCATCGGTGACAGTGACCGAGGGGGAACTGCAACAGATCCCGCAGGCTCTTTGGGAGGGTGATGGGAGGCAGCAAGCTGAGCTCTAAAAACAGCAGTAAACAAAAAAAGGTGCCGTTAAAGTTTGAAGTTATTTGATTAATAACCAGCAGGTGTTTTCTAACGTAAGAGTGAACACTGTCTCCTCACCTGTCGGGCGGCGGTGGTAGATGCGGTGTAGCGTCCTCATAGCCAGCTCCTCCAGGGGAACAACATGTTCTGTCTCTGAGCCCACCACCTTCACTTCAGCTGGCAGGCCAACCAAGGCTTGACTCAATTCCTCACCCAGCATTTCACCAAGTCCACCCTCCAGCGCTTGAGCAGATAAGCCACATCTGCAGGAGAACAACACACACAAACACAAGTATGCAGCCCATTAGGTCTGCAGTTGTATTTAGTAAAGATGCTACAAACCACCTTTATTTTATACAAGACGTATATCAGTATCCTCTCCTCACATGTGCAGATTTTAAGATGATATGTTAAGACAGCTTCACCACTATGCAGAGAATATTACTTACCACCTCGCTCTTGTCCCAAC